AGTTATAAAATGGGAATAAGGGTTGCTTTAAGTATCAAATGAGATAATATTTGTAAAGTGCTTACTTAGCACAGTGCCTGGCCCCTGGTAGGTGCTTAATTCTTATTTCCTATCACCCCTTTGACCAAGTTCATTTAGCTGGTAAATAGCAAAGCTGAGATTCAAATACTCGTTCTCCCATCCCAAATCCAGTGATCTTTCCACTGTGGCATAATATCTACAGTGATATCCCTTCTCCAACCCTGTTGACAAAAAATTAATTCAAGTAATCAACTAATATTAACTATAGAGCAAACATTCTTAACCTTTTTCTGTGTGATGGCCCCCTTTGGGCAATTTGGTGAAAGCTATGGAACTCTTCTCAGAATGTTTTTAGTGTATAAAATTTATAGGACCACTAAGCACACAAATTATACTGAAATACAGTTATCAAAATATGTTTTTAAAAAACAAGTTCATAGGCCCCAAATTGAAAACTCTTGCTATAGAGTGAGAGGCTTTCAAAGGACAGATGCAGGTGATTCCCAAATTCATACATCTCTCTTCTAAACTACAGGCCTGCGTTGCCAATGAACCAGCAGACATCTCCACCTGGATATCCTATAGGTATGCTCCAAACAGAACTCATTTTGTTTTCCCCTCAGAATCATTCTTCCCCCAAACTTCTCTATTTCTTTTGAGTGTTACACCACACTTCCAGTCATCCAGGGTCACAAATTTAGAATCAGCCATCTTTTCTTCCCCTTGTCCTCATCTATATTCAATTGCCAAGTCTTTTCAATTGTACCTCCTCAGCCTCTCTCCCATCTATCCCACCTCTTCACTCCCATAGCTTCTCCTTTGATTCAGGCACTCTTTCTTAGATTAATGCAATCTTCTCCTAATTTTCTTCCTACTTCCTATCTCTCCCCTCTCTATTTCATCACCAAGCAGCTGCCAAATTGATATTCCTAAATCATAGATCTGTGCAAGTCTCTTATTCCCCTGCTTAAACATCTTCAGTAGCTCCTAAATGCCTCTAGGTTAAAACACAAAATCTTTAGCCTGGCATTTAAAGCCCTTTGCAATATGACTCCCTAAGATGAGCCCTAAAAACCCCTTTAGGATCTTTTTTTTTCTTGCTAATAATCTACTCGTTCCTTTGTATGTAGATTGAGTTCCCTAAGTTCCAGGAAAGCAGGTTCCATGCCTACCTCATTGGAGATCAGTCAAATTGTTTTCCTGCTACAATCTGACCTGTTTAAACAGTCAATGTCCCTGAGGTTCTGTTCATAGGAATCTCTGATTCTCCTTTCTCCTAATTATAATTACTTTTATTCAGTTTGTTTTCAGAGTTCCATTCTTCCTAGCTCTCCTATCCTGTTTCTTTTTTTCTTTTTTTTTTTTAAATCTCATCCTATTCTTGTTTTTAAATCTTTCCCACTGGTCTATTTTCTACAGGCCCTCTACTCTGAATTAGCCCATTCTTCATAGTCTCTAGCATGTCTCACAATGAGGGCAATAGAAAAACTTTTGATGTGCCAGGGGGGAAAAGGGCTGTTTTTAAAGAACCAAAACACAGTTCTACCCCTACAGTTTAAAAAGAACTCTTTGCTCTTCAGAAGTCTATTCCCCTATTATTAACCCATTTGTCTCATTTAAAAAAATCCCATCTTTCTCTTTCTCTCCTGACATCATACATATCTTCCCTTAATACCTTATATCAGAATAGCACTTACAGATTTCAAATTTTCATTTACAATATTTGGAGCCTTAAAATAAAGTAGGCAGGGTGAGTGTTACCATTCCCATTTTACAGATGAGGAGCCTGAGGCTTAGTAACATAACCAATAAAGTCATGTAGCCAGTAAGTTTCAGAAGCAGCTCCAGAATCCACCCTTCTGAGCAATGTTTCAATGCTATCCCCCACCAAGCCATGCTGATGCTGTTCCTAGCATGGGTTTCCACATCCTCTTCTTAAGGAATTATGACGTACAGATACATATGAGAAAAGATAGCCATCCTTCTTGCTCTGGGAAATCCCATATTGTCTTCCCTGAAACCTTTAAAGATACTTTAAAGACCCCACATTTATATTAAAACATGATTTTGCCAAGAAAACCCCAAAATGGGGTCACGAAAAGTTGTACATGACTGAAGAAATGACTGAATAAGGCTGATGACTAGGACAGTGTTTTTGTCACAGCCCTTCCTAAAATACCTTTTGAAATGGGCTACACATCAGATCACTAGTGTTTAAGTATGAATAAATTTGTCAGCTTTTTCTTTTCTTTTTTTTTTTTCCGGACCTTTGGAGGTCCAAAAGAGGCCTGGTCGTAAAGGAAGTACAGAAAGGGGCTGAGGTTGACATATGCACTTTGAGGACAGAGGTTATTTAGCTTCTGTCTTTGCGCCTGAGTGCCTTACCTAGAAGTAGGTCCTGAATAAATATTGATTGAAATCAATTAAATGGAGGAACACCACGACCAGGCATCTTCTGACCTCTGGCCCATGCAACTGGATCCCAATTAGTGCAAATAATGAATTCTCTGTAAAGATCACAGGCATTGGAATTCGCGTTCTTCAAAATTATAATTATGTAAAATATAATCATTGATTACAGCTCAATGGAAATACACAGGGCAAATTCAAATAATGCAGCCACTTCAAGGAATTCATTACTTGCACTGATTGGGACCTCTCTGCACCTAACATCTACAAAAATACCAAATCCATATGTACTGGGCCTAAAGATTCAGAGATATTTGATCTTCTGGTACACATTTCTCTCCCAAACGTAAAATACTTCATGACAAAATAGATGAAGTAGGCCAGTAGCAAATTACATGCTATACTGTTTACCCCTCCGAAAAAGGTTATAATTTCTAATTCCTACTTAAAATCTCTTTATTGTAAAAAACACTAACTAAAAATGGGAAAAACTTTACAGAGATGTTAGTTCTGCTTTTTACAAAGGAATAAATAAATATATTTCATATCCTCCTTTCGTTGTCATGCCACAAAGAGAAGAAAAAAGAAATTTAAATTCTGTTAGTTTCAATCTGGAATGCAAATGACATGCACCATCCTCCTTCACATCTCGGCCCAATGAGCGCTCTGGAGAGATGGTGATGTGCCAGGGGAAGGGAGCTGCTCTCAAAGAACTAAAACAAAAACTACAGCAACTACAGAGCTCTGCTGCTCCGGGCAAGGAAACTGTTTGGTAAGGGAAGGGCGATGGATAAGCCTGCAGGTTGTGCACCTCCACACACCTCCCTGGAACAGGAAGCTCCAAGTGATTTGAGTTTGATGTTATGAACTGCAGGTGCAGCTTACAGATGGGAGGTTTGGGTGTGGGCACATGCCAAGTGCATAACAAAACTCAATTGAGGGGAGCCAATTTTGAGACCACAGCCTGAACTAGTTGAATGTAGATGACAGAGGATGCCATAGGATTGAGGTACAAATGGAGCAGTTCCAAATATTTCACTCTGAGGCAACACACCAAAACTCAGTTACTTTGTTTTTGACTCCCACAGCGCATTTTCAAAGGAAAGTATAACATGTATAAAACAGGAGATAGGTACATTATATGGGATCATAGATTTAGAACTAGGAGATTAATGACTGAGAGATCATTGAGTGCTACAAAGGAGGAAAGTGATGTTCAGAGAGGTTAAGTAACTCGCCTGAGGTGGCAGAGATTGAACCCAGGACCTCCGGCTACAGATCCAATACTCTTTCCATCCTACCATATATTTGCTGAAAATATTGTGTCAACATTGTTCCCAACTGCGACAAATTAAAATCGTTTGTTTTCCCATGTCATCACTTGTGTATATGTGAGTACTTTCATAAAGCCTGAGATTTCAGAGAAGTAGGAGAGAAACATCTTAACATGAAGATACACCCAAACTTTCAACCTTGCAATCTAGCCTATCCCAGTCTTGATATGTTTATTAATGTATTCACCTAGCATTTAATAAGCGTCTATTATGGCACAATGACATACTGGATCCTGGGGGGTGGGGGCAGTCCTTGCCATTGTAGCTATCATTCTACCAACGGAGTATAACTTAGAACATTTATGCAAATAGAGACAGACCACTTAAAGGGAAAAAGAGGGTACCAGCAACCAAGTGAGAATTCTTCACGTTCCTTTGCAATCCTTTCTTTCTTTTTTTTTGTGAGGCAATCAGGGTTAAGTGACTTGCCCGGGGTCACACAGCTAGTAAGTATTAAGTGTCTGAGGCTGGATTTGAACTCAAGTCCTCCTGACTCCAAGGCCGGAGCTCTATTCACTGCCACCTAGCTGCCTCCTTTCCAGTCCTTTTTATCTTTAGTAGTATAATGAAACATCATTCTATCACTGGTGAAGAGGGCTTGGATAACCCCCACGTCATAGACTTTCCGCGCTGCACTGAGATGGATCAACTGTGCATCTCTGTGACATCATTTGACCCACAGTGGTGTTGTGAAGAGCTTTACGATGAGGCTTTATTGCATGCCTATGTGGTCATATACATAATAGAAACTATTATGGGGTACTGAGGAAAAAAATCAAAATGGAAAATTTTGGAATTTACAATCAGATTCAAGACAAATAATATTTGTATTTAAGGTACTAGAACTAAAGGCTTCTATTTTTTCTTTTTGATTTTTATAACACTATTCTTCAATCTTTTTTTTTTAAAGGCAATTGGGGTTAAGTGACTTGCCTAGGGTCACACAGCTAGTAAGTATCAAGTGTTTGGTCTGAGGCCGGATTTGAATTCAGGTCCTCCTGACTTCAGGGCCCGTGCTCTATCCACTGCTCCACCTAGCTACCCTTTATTCTTGAATCTCAAATGGAAAAGAAACACCATTTTAAGAGGGCTCTGAATCCCTAATTTTTTTCCCTTAGCTCCTACTTTATCTATGGGTGATGTACATGCAAAAATGAGATGCCTCTGATGTCAAAATAACTCAAGCAAAATAATTAATCAATTTTTTTTTGAAAAGAAAAATATCTGGGAGTCAAGATGAATATTAAAAATACTTTAGGGTAAAAAAACAAGAGTTTCTGACAAAGGAATTAAGAAAAAATACAGTCACCTCACAAAATGAGTTATTTATTTTTTACTACCCCACCCTGTGATCATATTGCAATTTAACCTGTTTTTAAACAAACACAAATTATTCACATTTTCTGTCCTTAAAGCAAAATACTCTTTGCTTGGCTAAATGACAATGTTCAAGCAATGCCTACCACAGAAGCATAAAAAAACCCTGGCAATTTTCCAGTTGAAATCCGCCCTGCAGAATGTCTCCCAGCAAGCGTTCAATAGCCTTTTGGTGAACCTGCTGGCTCAGTGTATGCTTGAACAGGATCTGGAAAGAACAAAAGAAAAACTGATAGACATTTTCCTTTTTGTTAGTCTAGAGAAGTAGCACTCAGTTCATTGAAGTAAACTTTTCAAGCTGGAGAAGATGAAAATGTGTGTGACCGTGGAGCAAACCACATCACTTAGGCTATTGTGCTGGAATATAATTTATCAGCATTGTTCCTCTGAAATTCAAGTAAGATTAGTGTTCTTTTCATGTAGTATCAAACACAACGCATATAAGCTATGGGTGCACTTTAGACTGTATTTTCTGACACTTGTGAGCTCTGAAATGACTAATATTCTTTTGCAATATGATGGTTTCAGATCATATATAAAATCTTAAGCCATTACCAATAATCTGTTATTAGGGGAGAGGGTAGGGGCAAAGTCACTTCAGATTGTTCCTAAGAGGCCTTCATAATTTGCTAAAGCTTTTCAAGTTATCACATATTATACTACAATTTCACCAAAATTGTGGGTTTCTGCATGAAAACCATGATACTTCTGAAAAAGGAATACTTGTGTATGTTTCATTATGTAGGCCTCCTTGCAACTTTTTCTTAGAATGAACATTTCCTATTAAAAGAAAAAAAAAGTGTTGGACATGTTACAAGTCCATTATAAGCAGTTGCAATACATTTGGCCCAATTCAGCCCCCAGGCATGGGGGAAGGGTGTGGTTTGGGTAGGCATGAGGGCGGATGTGGGTATCCTTAAATGCCCTGAATATTTGGGATTTGGGAGAGGAGGAGCATTCCTTTTTGCCATCTAAGGTTATAAGATCATCAGCTCTGATGGAGTAACCCTGGGCCTGGAGTCAGCCCTATACTCTGAAACAGAGGGCACAGGAAAGTCATGAAGGCCTGGCCTCACGTCAATCAGGCAAAATCAACATACATTTGATGAGTACCTTTGAGTTGATAGGATCCTGGGGTTTGGAGCTGGAAGGAACCATGGGGGTCATCCAGTACAATCCCTTCATTTTATAGATGAGGAAACTGAGCCTCGCTGAGGTTGCAACTTCTCCAAGTTCACAGAGGTAGGGTACAGCAGAATCCGACTTAAACTTGATTTTTCAACACCATTTCTTTTCACAGCAGTATACTGCTTTCCAAGTATAAGGCAGTTGTACCGATTTCCCTGTCTAAGCAAGGTTGGGGTACTCCAGGAAGTGCCCATGTTTACTGAAAGGACTCAGAATGATTTCAGAGCCTTCACTACTATCTTCAAAGAAGGGATACTTCTGTTTTCCAACCACAACAAACTGATTTCTGTATCAGATGTCAATAGCACATCCCAGGAAGCTAGGCCTTCAGGGTACATGCAAGGGAAACAAAAATACTGATAGGTTCTTTCTTTCCAAATCAGATGCTCTATTTGACTAGCTGGTGTTGCAGTTTTTGCAAACCACGAAGGTGTCTAGCCTGTCTTGTCCTTTGATGCTCTTTTTGCCGATCCATCTTAAATAGCTCATGGTCTTTATTTTAATTCAGTCTGGAGCAGAACCAGGAGAACAATTTATACAATAACAGCAATATTGAAAAGACAAACAACCTTAACAGACTTAAGATCTCTGATCAATGCAATGACCAACCACCATTCCATTGGACAGATGATGAAGCATGCTACCCACCTCCTGACTGAGAAGTAATGAACTCAACATGCAGAATGAGACATACATTTATTCGGACATAGCCAGTGTAGGTATTTGTTTTTGCTTGATTACACAATTTGTTATAAAAACTTTGTTTTCCTTTTCCTTTTTTTTCCTGATGGGGGGAGCTTTTAATTGAAAAAAAAAATTTCTTATTCAGTCCGATCGTTTTTCCTTCTTTAGCCCTTAATTGGAATATTTGGGATATGAAAATTATTAGTTCAAAACTTTTTAACATGATTGGCAGTGCCACCTGTCATCCCTGTTTCTGAGGCATGAAAACAACCAGACTCCTTTCAGCCCCATGCTAACTGTTCCCCTTTTTGAATGCTTACTACACAATTCATCATACTCTAATTGTGGCAGGTATACTGAAAGGTTCAGTCTCCTGAGCTAGAATTGAGCTCCTTGGTGGCACAGACCCTCTCCTATTCTTTTCTCTCCACCTCAGGACCTCACATAATGTGAACTGGGCATGGGAGGTTTAGTGGGAAGAGGGCTACATTCAACATCCACAGAATTGGATTGGTATCTTGTTCCTTGACACCAGGTTATAGGATCACAGCTCTGGAATTAGAAGGGACCCCAGAAGTCACTCTAATCCAACCTCCTCATTTTACAGAGGAGGAAACTGAGGTCCTTGTAAGTGAAGTGATTCATCCAAAGTTGTCCAGGTAGTAAGGGATGTAGCATGTTGTGTGACCACCATCAATTTCTCTGAGCCTTAATCTCCACAATAATAATAATTGTACTAATATTGATAGCTAGCATTTGTATAGTACATTAAGGTTTGCAAAGCGCTTGACATGTTTCCTTATTCAATCCTCACAACAACCTTGGGAGATAGGTGCTGTTATTATCCCCATTTTATAGAAGAGGAAACCGAGACACAAAGCAGTTAAGTGACTTGCCCAGCCAGGGTCACACAGGTAGTATCTGAAGCAGAATTTGAATCCAAGTCTTCCAGACTTCAAATGCAGAACTCTATCCATTCCATCACCTACGTCACAGGATTGATTACTGGCAAGGAAAGCATTTTGTTAAAGCACTTCATTTATTATCATTATTATTATTATTATTATTGTCATTATTATTATCATAGTAGGCCTTCAATTAATACTAGTTCACTAATTATATTTTCTCTTTCCTCCCTGACAAGAATTGACTTTTTTTCTTGTTTTCCAAATCAATTTGCCAGCTGAATCCTCCTCCACTCTCAACCTGAGCTGGAGAAGTTAGTGGAGGTCAGCACGATTCTTCCTCACTGCGCCCCTCCCGAAAGCAAAATGGAGAATAATGATTGTCACACCTTTTAAAAAAGTCTTTTTTTTTTAAAGTAGACTAAGCCAAAATCCGCCTTTGGGTGTGTACTTGTGGCTGCTGCTGGCCCTAAGGCAAAGCTTCTCACAAAGGACTAATTCTCTTTTGAAATGAAGTCTGGAGAAAGAGGCCCTTTTCCTTCTCTGCTTTTAAAAAATCTTCCTCTCCCACTTCTATCTGTGAAAGGACATCTTGTCCACTTTTCACTTTACATTTTCAGGCTGCTCGTGTCAAATCAGTTTTTAGGTCCATTCCAAGGAAACATTGACATTTGAAGGTTCTTGAACAAAAATGTCACTTTTGAGGGACATGGAGGAAAGTTCATGCAATTACCAATCAGACAATGGGCTATACCACACAAACACACACAGACACACACACACATGCATACACATCCCAGTCTTGAAAAAGTCACCAAAGAGATTAAATTCCTGGATTGTTTGTTGAGGAAAAATAAAAATCCATCCATTAACTGAGTAATGATTCTAAGACAGTGAGGGGTTCTTAATCTTTGTGTTATATACCCCTTTGCCAGTCTGGAGGAACCTGCGAGCCTCTTCTCACAATAATAATGAGTAAATAATGTAAAGGCATAAAATAAGATGTATAGGATTACAAAGGAAACTGATTAAACTGAAATACAGTTATCAAAATATTTTTAAAAACAAGATCCCAGGACCCCAGGTTAAGAATCTCAGTCCTAAAGGGAAGGGGGTCCACTTGGGCCTACACTCTTGCTAAGTATTTATTCCTTCCTGAACTAATTCATTTTGCAAAATAAGACAGGTACTCAGAACACAGATTTTGCAGAACCATCATTAAGTACTATAAACATTGTAGCCAAAGACAATAGTCCCATCTGTGTAATGGGGACAAGAGGACAGGAGTACTGGTCACTGAGCAGTTTTTTCAGTCCATCAAGGCAGATGTGGATAATAACATCAACAGCATAACATTCTGTTTCTCTTTGAGGACAGCAGGAATATAGTGTTTGAAAGGTCTACTTTATATATTTGAAGAAAAGAATAATCTGGCATTATTCGTACAGGATTCCAAACAGCGTAATGAAAAAGGACAATTTAACAAAACTGAGCCCAGGAGCAGAGTGTGGGACTATAGAAAGGGCACTGACTTTGAAGTCAGAGACTGAGGGAATCCTAGCTTTGCTACTTACTACCTGGGCATCAGGTTACTCAGCCTGTCCAAGCCACGGGTTCTCCATTGGTGACATGAAGGGATTGGCTTCTGAGGTCCCTCCCAACCCTTAACCTATGAGCCTCTTTGAAGACAAAGGTTAACTGTGTGTCTACACCAAAGTACTTTTGTTAGAGACTAGCTGACAATAAAGTGATTATCTTAGAATTCATCTATACCTTCTAACATAAAAATAAATGAGTGCCCAATAGTAGTTCTATAGATTTAAAACACGAAGGGCCCTTAGAGGTGGTCTAATGCAACACTGTCATTTTACAGTTGAAGAAAATAAGAACCCAGAAAATCACTTATCCAAAGACACACAGGTGGTTAAGCAGTGGCGGCAGCTGGAGACATAGTGGATAGAGAGCTGGGCCTGGGGTCTAGAAGACCTAAGTTCAAATCTACCCTCAGACAATTATGAACTGTGTCACTCTGGGTGAGTTATTTGAATTGTTTCTCTAGGTTTCCTCAACTCTAAAATGAGGCAATAATAGTACTTAATTCGCAGGGTTATTATGAGGATCAAAAGAGATAATATTTGTAGAAAGCACTTAGCACAGTGCCTGGCACATAGTAGATATTATATAAATGCTTACTCCCCATCCCTCCCTCAGGTGAGCTGGAATTTGAACCTAGATTCTTTGCCTCTAAATCCAGTATGCTTTCCACTACCCTATGTATCATTTTCTTTGTAGGATTTCCCCTAAGAGCTTCTCTCACTGTAGGCCTGCTCCGACTCATTATGTGTTAGATAAAGATTTAGATACATAGGGATATGAATATCAATATATATATATATGTTTGATATGTTATATACATATATGTATATCCCTG